GTTTTCCCTCTTTTTTATTCGATGCGTGTACGTACTAAAGGACCCATGTCCTGTCAACACCTGCGTCAGGAAGTATTCGGTTGTCCTGTGTTTGCAATTCACCCACGACCTCAGGTCGGGTATCAACCTCTTCGTCCATTGCGCCGTCTCTGTTTGCTCGTGCCAAGCCCTCTGCCAGAGGTCCAGGGTCTGCTCTCTGGCTCTCCTCTTCTGCTCGTGCAGATGACCGTCCCCTGCCCTATAGAGGTGGTTTCTCTCGGCTACTAACATCTCGATGGGCGGCGTACCGGTGACCACCTGGATCGCATTCGTCGAGACTGTTCGATATGCGCTAGCAACCCTCAGGAGAACCCTTCGCTGCACCGACGCCAATCGTCTTCTATTCGTCTCCACTCTCATCGCCAAATGCCACACCGGAGCACCGTACAGCAGTGTCGATTGTACGACGCTGCTGAGAACCGCTCTCTTATAGCTACTTGGTCCTCCAATATTCGGCATCAACCTTGAAAGTGCCGCCACACTTCCCTCCGCCTTCTTCACCGCCATCTTCGTGTGTTCTCCGAAGGTTTGTAGGTCATCCAGCACTACCCCTAAGTACTTGACGCTCCTCGAGATGCCAATCCGTTCCCCTCCTATATCAAAGGTGACATCTCTTCGTCGCGGGCCCCTAAGGATTAATACTTCCGTCTTTTCGGCTGCCACCTCTAGGCGATGTGCTCTCATCCAGTCGATTATTCTTCTTGACGATTCCTCCACTCTAGATACTAACTCTGTCTCCTTTTGCGCTATCACCACTAGGGCCAGGTCGTCCGCGTAAGCAATTGTGCTCGCACCATCCGTCAGCACTAACCTCAGCACCCCATCGTAGAGGATGTTCCATAGATCTGGTCCCAGGATTGACCCCTGTGGGACCCCTGCCGTGATGGTTCTGTCCTCTCCACACACCCTGATATTCCTGTTCCTAAAGTATGCGGTGATTATAACGATTAGGTACTTCGGCACGTTCCTTCTTTCCAGTTCTCTCAGGATCAAGCTCCACGTCGCCATGTTGAACGCGTTGCGTATATCAAAAGTGATCAGAGCGCACCACCTATTCCCCCTCGCCTTTGCGATTGCCATTACCGCCTCTACCGCATCTATTGTTGACCGTCCCTTGCGAAAACCGAACTGATTTGGGGACAACCCACGCTCCCCTTCCATAGTCATCTTCAGTCTTCCTCTCAGCAAGCTCTCGTATACTTTACTTATGGCATTTAGCAGGCATATGGGCCTGTGGGCCGTCGGGTCGTCCATCGCCTTCTCCTTGCCCTTTGGTATTAGCACCAGTCGTGCTGTCTTCCATATAGCTGGGAACTCTTTTTCGCGGAGCAAGTTGTTCAGCATTCCCAGCAACCATTCAGGGTTCGTGTTGCACACCACCTTAATGGCTTCTGCCGGAACACCGTCCAATCCAGGGGCTTTACCGTTCTTCAAATTCTCCACCGCTACTTATAACTCTTCCTCGTTGAATGGTTCCGGTTCATCCTCTGCCGTTAGTTCTGGGGCAGGCGGGGTCACGTCATCCCTCCAAGGAAAAAGCGCCGTGGCTATTCTTTTCTTCTGCTCCTTCGTCAGCTCCACGGGGTGGAGGTTACCTAGCCTGCGCATAGCAATTTTGTACCCGCTACCCCAGATATTTTCGTCGAGCGCGGTGCACAGCTCTCTCCAGTGATCACGCTTAGAGGCGTTGATTAGCTTCCTCAGTGACTTCTTTTCTGTCTTATATTCCTCTTTGAGCTGGGCTTCGATGTCATCGGGGATGTCTTCCCGGCAAAGCACCTTACTGAGTCGCCTCCTCGTATGCGTGCACGCTCCACGTTTTTCCGCAATCTCCCCGTTCCACCAGTATGGCTGTCTCACTATACTGCCTTTACGGCGCGATGTCCCATTTTCGTAGGCCTCCTTTATAATTTCCATACAGGCGTCGGGTGTGCTGGGGGGTTCCTTAACTTGAAGGCGCCATTCCAGAGATAACCTGAAGACTTCTCAGTCCTGGGTCACTATCTGCCTCCCAGTCTTCTTCCTGCTCTTCCCCGCTACCTCAAACGAGATGAGGGCATGGTCACTCAACGTCTCCTCGTCTAGGATTTCCCAGTTGGAGATTTGGCGGGCAATACCCTGCGTAGAGCACGTCACATCTACCCATGATTTGGCAGCTCCTCTCCTGAAGGTAGGTTCATTTCCCACGTTATGGACCACCATATTCAGAGTGGACAGCCACTCCAGGAGGTATTCTCCTCTTTTGTCCGTTACTGGCGAGCCCCAAAGTTGTGCCTTAGCGTTCAGATCTCCGATGATGCAGAACTCTTGGCCGCTACCCATTCCGTACTGCATGGCTTCATCTATCTGGTGCTTGAAGTTATCGATGCGAGATGTATGCCGCTATCAAGCAACAGTGGCTTAGATGGATGCAGAGGTATCCGTTCTTTGCCACCGTTTTTCCTACTTCTACTCCCCTATTGCAGAAAAAGACCGCGACATCTCCTCTTCTATCCTTTATCCATCGTTTGTTTTCAATGAGCCTCCTGTTTGGCTCGCTAACAATAAGTACGTCGCTGCAGCGACGCATTACCGCTGCGAGGGCAAGCTCGTGCGCTGCCCTGGAGCGGTTCAGATTGGACTGAATTATTTTCAGACTGAAGAGAGTAGGCGGGCCTGCCTCTTTTCTTCAACCCGTTTCCTGAACTCCCTGCACCTGATCTGGTTTGCCATGTGCTCATCTTCCTTGCAGGTGGAGCAGTATGGATTTCCTTTGCACTCCTTGAATTTGTGCCCTGCCTTACCGCATTTCAGACACTGGTCCCTTTTGTCATCTCCACGGCATTCCTGCGACCTATGCCCAAACTCTAGGCATCGGAAGCACCTTACGAGTTGTACCCTTTCCCTCACCGTGCAGTTCAACCATCCAATGCGAATTTGCCCCTGTCTCAGCATATTAATTGCTGAAGATCTGGCCATCTCTATCACCGCCGTTTTGTTTTCATTGCGGCCTTCCCTCAAAGATCTCAAACGGATTTTTTCTTCGTCTTCACCAGTCGCTGTTGCTATCGCAGCCGTCACCTCCTCCTCGGTGGTTGTTATATCCAGCCCTGTCACTGCGATGATGATGTCATTCGTTTTTACTCTCACGTCGATGTCTCTCACGTTATTTCGTATTTCTGTCCGCAGTCTGTCGGCATTTACCTGTCCTCCTTCTACTGTTACCGCTAGGTCACCCTTGCCCAGTTTCCTTACACTCTTCACAGATATACCTAATCCTTTGATGTCGACTCCCTCTTTGACTCTTTTCAGGATATCCCCGTACGAGCTCTCGCCGGCTTTTACAATGACGATGCTGTCCTTTTCTTTCGCAGCGTTTTTCCTTTCACTGTCCTTCTTCTTGTTCCAGGCCGGCTGCAGATATCTGATTTTAAAATCTGATCCATAGAATACACATTCCAGCACCTTCCTCCCATAGTCACTGTCTATACCTTCCGATACCATCGTGATGTTCTTCCTGCTGTTCGTGTCCATGATTTCCTTCAATTTTGTGGCTTGTTTCCAGAATTCGTCTGTCGTATCTGTCGCTCTTCCAAACGCCTTGCACGGGAGAATGTATATGTATTTCTCTCTCTCTACCGTGCCACCCCTGCTGGAAACAGTTCTTGTCGTATTAATGACGTACTCTATATTTTCTGCTTTTGTGTTAGCCAGGTCCTCCGTCTCCGGGTACTTCTCGATTAAGGCCTTGAAGAGACCTTTTTTCTCTTCCTTAGATGTGTCCAGCACGAGTACCACGTCATGTTCTGAATCATCCCTGGTGAGATTTCCTATTTCCTCCTCTGTTACCTTATACAGGTCCTCTGGCCATCTCTCATCCAGCATTGGAGCTATCTCCTCGTAGGTACAGTTCGGCTGTACCTTCTGCCTTATGAGGTACTCAGTATCCTGCTCGGTAGTGTCCATATTCACCTGCGTCCCCATCTCTCTAGTTTCGCGCTTCTCGTGCAATACGCTTTCTGTCCGTGGTTCGTCCACTTGAGTTGTGAGCGTCGTGTCTGCCTCCTCTCCTTTCGCTAATGTATCTAACCATTTTTGGTATTTAGCGAACATCACTTCCGTGATTGCCCTCATTTCCGATACCATCTTTTTAACCTCTACTTTCGTGTTCTTATTTCCTAGAGCTATGCTTTCCAGGTTCCTACTGGTATCCCTCAGCTTCCTAAAGTTCACGTCCATATTTACGGGAGCGCTTCCTGCATGTGGACTAAGCAGCTCCTTCTTCCTTTTTCTAGGGCAATAGTCCAGTTCTCGCCCCCTTCCTCCGATGCGACTGCTTCCTTTCGATTGCTCGACGCAATCGTAAGGTCATACACCGGGCTCGTGAAACATTCCTCTAGGAACGATCCCGCTTCTGATCCACTTCCGCTGGTGTTCCTTCCTTCTCCCTGGATCGGTGAGTAGAAAATGTCTGGTTCCTCTTTATTGCCTGAATTTCTCCTATCCTTGACTGGAGATCTGCCTAGGCAGGATCTCCCCACTGTTGGGTCTTCCACTTTTTCCCACTCATTTCTCTCTCTCCCTCTCCTTGTTTTCGGTCATTTCTTCATCCTGTATTTTTCCAATTGTTTTTTCCATATTCGTCCCACGAGTAGCAAGGGAAGGCTCGGTCCACCCCTGCAGAGCCCCGCTTGCAGAGGTAAGGCATCATTCCCCGCCGGTTTGCCTGGTCCGGCGGGCATCGCTCGCGACACACTATCTCATCCCTGTGCCATGCACCCCGTCGGCGCGATGGAGCTACACCTTGGGGTTGGGAGACGCGGTAGCCGAAAAGTTGGCCAAGAGGAGAAGGGCACAGCCGCCTTCCCTGTGCCCGTGAGAAGGGGATTGCCAAGAAAGACGGAAAGAGGAAGAAATATAGATATAAGAAATTTTGCTAAGATAGGCGAAAGAGAGAGAAGTGTGGATGAAAGAAACCTCGCCCAAGACTGGTTGAAGAAAGGAGAGGTTCAGCTAGGATTTCCAGGAGTCGCCGCCTCCTACACTCATCATAATGAGCCCTTGCAGAGTTTATATTATCGAGGTTGACTCCTCTAGATCCGTAGTGTTTTGTAAGAGACAGGCCGACCTCGAGTAGGGTGTACTCCAGTGGAGCACGCACTACGGTCTTGCATTGTTTTGCGCATGTCACTAGCCTGGGTGAAACCCTTCGACCCAACCTAACCTAACCTAACCTAACCTAACCTAACCTAACCTAACCTAACCTAACCTAACCTAACCTTTTTTTTTTTTTTTTTTTTTTTTTTTTTTCGAGGAGGGGAAATATTCAAAATACACGCCTGCCTGGGATGTTTGGTCGGCAGGGTAGTGTGAGATTTTTACTCACAAAATGCCCTCCCCTCTTCTGCTACTATACCCTGGAACCGCTTATCGCATTATTTCGGGGTAAGTAGTTGCCTAATCGTTTGTCCTCTCCTCCTTGCCTTCGGTCTCTAGGATCTTCCAGCACATGTTGTTGACGTTGTTCCAGTTTTCCTCGCTCTCGAGCATTATTCCCACCATGTTGTCGGCGTTTATGTTTGTGCCGACCTCATTTGCAGCCGTATCTCTTATTCGGGTCCATCTCGGGCATTGGAATATTGTATGCTCGACCGTGTCCCTCTCCGGGCAGTATTTACAGTTGTCCGTTGGTGTCTTTCCGATTCTTTTGGTGAAAATACCGAAGCTGCCGTGCCCACTCAGTACTTGGGCAGGTAGTAATTCAGGTGGCCGTGCTTTCTGCTCGTCCAGTTCTCAATGTCCGGGATTAGTTTATGGGTCCATCTGCCTTCTGAGGCGTTGTTCCATCCTTCTTGCCATTTCTCCATCAGGCAGGCTCTATTGAATTCCTTTGTAATTTAGCTTGCACCATGGTTGTGTGCTCTTTCTACAGCTAGTAGGTCAGCGGGGGGAGTTGAGCAGATTACCTGCAAGGCCGCCGTCGACACGGTCCTGTAGGCACAGCTTATCGCTATCAGCGAGCAGCGTTGTGCCTTGTTATACGACGCTATACATAGTGGAGTATACTACGGCCGTGCCAAAAATGCTATCTCGGAAACTAAGCGAGATAGAGGTATAGTTGCTTTGGAGAAAATGATCCCCATCGAATTTTGAGCAACTTTGGTTTTTGTGTGTGGTCTGTCTGTCTGTCTGTCTGTACTCTGTGTTAATCATAAATCGATATATCTCCGGAACCCTTTGACATATCGACTTGAAATTTTGCCATCTTATTGTACTCAAAACAATATTATGTCATTAAAATATGAAGGAAATCGGAAAACTCTAAGGTGGTTTTTCCGGGTTTTTTCGATTTTTCACCGGAAGTTCCTTGTAACCACTCTACAAATCGCAAAAGTGGTCCGATCGATTTCATTTTTTGTGAAAAAAACCTCTATCAGGAAGAGACGAAGCCTATTGAAATTGAGCAGGGTCGGAAAATTCCAAGTGGGTTTTTCAAGGAGATTTTCCGAAAAACACGGTTCGCTTTAAAACGACATATCTCGTGAACAAATAGACTAAATCCAAATTCGAGAAATGCACCGTATGCCTCTTTGATGACGCAACAAATTATCATTCAATCATTTTTTCGTGCATCCATCGGAAAATGGAAAAACAAATGAAAACCCAAACATCAAAATTTGAAATCCTTTTAATTCAATATATATCGAAAACAAATGGAAAAATCGAAAATTATCAAGAGTGCAATGTTATCCACTGGAACATTCCCTACAAATCATTTTCCATAATTTTTTCTGTAAACCCAATAGTACAGGAAATAAAGTGAAAAATATGAAAAAAAAATTTTAACGACCCATAGGGTACTATGAAGATATATTGAAAAACATAGATTATCGATAGATGAAGCTCATCTACCTCCACTGAGGCATGGAATATTTTTCCATTTTGTTGATTGGAAGATGGAACAAAAGTGTTGAAAATTTTATTCTCAGATAATTCCAAATATCTCGAAAACAACTGAAAATATCTGAAAATTTTATGGAACCAAAATTATTCCTTTTGATAAAATCCACAAAAAATTCTCATAACATTTTTTTCTGAATTCAATAGTTCGGGAGATACGATGAAAAAACTAAAAAAATTTACAAGTTCCTAGATAATCACTTGCCAATAGAAAACGAAACAAGAAACAAATAAAGTAAAAAAAAGGACACTCGACTGTCTTGATTTTTTTCCCATTAACTACGTACCGAGCTCACTCGACTGTCTTTATTTTTGCCAATAAACTAGGTACGGGTTAAGTACGTAGTTTGTACGAAAAATCTCCAGTTCTCTGAACTTTCATAGCGTCGTATACACATCATTGGTGCCCAATGATAGTTTCAATATAAAAATATGCTCATGATATGGTGCCATGGCCTCAACTTCCATCTTACATGAGCAATGATAAAATATCATCTGATTTTATAACGTCGTATAAATTATCTGACCCCTATACTAATCTGATACCTTTTAAAACTACGTACCTCACTTGTTATACGACGCTATACATAGTGGAGTATACTACGGCCGTGCCAAAAATGCTATCTCGGAAACTAAGCGAGATAGAGGTATAGTTACTTTGGAGAAAATGATCCCCATCGAATTTTGAGCAACTTTGGTTTTTGTGTGTGGTCTGTCTGTCTGTCTGTCTGTACTCTGTGTTAATCATAAATCGATATATCTCCGGAACCCTTCGACATATCGACTTGAAATTTTGCCATCTTATTGTACTCAAAACAATATTATGTCATTGAAATATGAAGGAAATCGGAAAACTAAGGTGGTTTTTCCGGGTTTTTTCGATTTTTCACCGGAAGTTTCTTGTAACCACTCTACAAATCGCAAAAGTGTTCCGATCGATTTCATTTTTTGTGAAAAAAAACTCTATCAGGAAGAGACGAAGCCTATTGAAATTGAGCAGGGTCGGGAAATTCCAAGTGGGGTTTTCAAGGAGATTTTCCGAAACACACGGTTCGCTTTAAAACGACATATCTCCTGAACCAATAGACTAAATCCAAATTTGAAAAATGCACCGTATGCCTCTTTGATGGCGCAACAAATTATTTCTCAACCATTTTTTCGTGCATCCATCGGAAAATGGAGAAACAAATGAAAATCCAAACATCAAAATTTGAAATCCTTTCAATTCAATATATATCGAAAACAAATGAAAAAATCGAAAATTATCATGAGTGCGAAGTTATCCACTGGAACATTCCCTACAAATCATTTTCCATATTTTTTTCTGTAAACCCAATAGTACAGGAAATAAAGTGAAAAATATGAAAAAAAAAATTTTAACGACCCATAGGGTACTATGAAGATATATTGAAAAACATAGATTATCGATAGATGAAGCTCATCTACCTCCACTGAGGCATGGAATATTTTTTCATTTTGTTGATTGGAAGATGGAACAAAAGTGTTGAAAATTTTATTCTCAGATAATTCCAAATATCTCGAAAACAACTGAAAATATCTGGAAATGTTATAGAACCAAAATTATTCCTTTTGATAAAATCCACAAAAAATCCTCATAACATTTTTTTCTGAATTTAATAGTTTGGGAGATACGATGGAAAAACTAAGAAATTTACAAGTTCCTAGATAATCACTTGCCAATTGAAAACGAAACAAAAAACAAAAGTAAGTAAAAAAAGCACACTCGACTGTCTTGATTTTTTTTCCCATGTACTACGTAGTACAGGTACGTACCTAGCTCACTCTACTGTCTTTATTTTTGCCAATAAACTAGGTACGGGCTAAGTACGTAGTTTGTACGAAAAATCTCCAGTTCTCTGAACTTTCATAGCGTCGTATACACATCATTGGTGCCCAATGATAGTTTCAATATAAAAATATGCTCATGATATGGTGCCATGGCCTCTACTTCCATCTTACATGAGCAATGATAAAATATCATCTGCTTTTATAGCGTCGTATGAATTATCTGACCCCTATACTAATCTAATACCTAATGAAAACTACATCTATACTAATCAGATACATTTCAAAAACTACGTACCCCACTTGTTTAGTCTCTTCCGGTTTTTGGCGGTTTTTAGTCCGTCGGCCCAGGCTGGGGCAGCGTATAGTAGTATTGAGTTCACTATGAAACCCAGCAGTCTCCTCGTGCTTGTTTTGGGCCCCCCTGTTCTTGGCATGACACCTCTCAGAGCGAGTGCCGCCCTTTCTGCCTTCTCGCTGCATTTCTTTATATGTTGATTCCAGCTGATATTTCCGTCTATGTGTACTCCCAAGTATTTGATGCAGGTGCCCGCTGCTACTGTGTTGCCTAATATGTTAGGTTCCAATTGACGTGTAGTTTTGCGTCCGTTGAGCGCAATGGCCTCTGTTTTCTGCGGTGCTATTTGCAGATGGTTGTCCGTCATCCAATTATTGATGGTGTCAAGGCCCTCTCGGCTATTGACTCCACCTCGTTCTCGTTAGAACCGATTGCTACTACAATGAGATCGTCAGCAAAGGCTACCATCCTACACCCTTTCAGCTCGTCTGTGCTTTCGAGCTCTAGCACGCCGTCATAGAGGAGGTTCCAGAGCAGCGGGCCCAGAACCGATCCTTGGGGTACGCCGCAGGTGATCTGTCGCGTCTCGTCGTCTATCAGTAGGCTTCTGTCCGTGAGGTAGCTTTTGACTATTTTTATCAGGTACTCCGACACCCCCCGTCGGGTTAACGATTCCACTATGGGGCGCCACGGTGCGGAGTTGAATGCGTTCTTCACATCTATGGCAACAGCTAGGCATAGCTCTCGGTTTCGCCAGTTACCTTCGTTGGCGCTGCGGGCTATACTAACAACTTCTTTTATCGCTTCCACTGTTGACATGCCTTCCCTAAAGCCGTATTGCTTGTCAGACAGGCCACCAAGGCTGTCCAGTTCGTCGTTCAGTCTTGTAACAATGATCCTCTCCAGTATTTTCGCCGTGGTGTCGATGAGGCATATGGGTCTGAGGCCAGAGGATAATGGGCCACCAGGCTTGGGGACCAGTACTAATTTGGCTGTTTTCCATCGTTTCGGGAAGGACCCGGTTGCGAGTATGCTGTTGAATAGTTCCCTGAATATGTCGGTATGGGTTTCCATTGCTATTTTCACGACCTCGGGTGGTACTCCGTCGGGCCCGGCTGCTTTTTTGGGTTTAAGTCTGGCTGCAGCCATACGTATCTCATCTGGCGTTATTGGTGGGTGAGGGGGCGCGTCTTCGTTTGCCCTTTCCCAGGCGATTACTGGCATGACTGGGAACAGCTCGTTTGCGGCTGCTACTTTTTCAGCTGTGTTGAGGATGACCCTCTGTGTAGCTCCCGTTCTCTTACATGCTATTTGGTATCCTTCCCCCCATACGTCGTCGTCGACAGCTTCTACGACTCTGTTCCAACATTCGGCCTTCGATTTGCTGATCGAATATCTCAGTCTTTTCCTAGACTCCTTGTAGGCTTCATGGCTTATCTCGAGCTCGGCGGCTCCTACGCTGCGGTTGGCCTTCATTCTTGTCCATAGTCTTTTATCCCTCAAGCTGATCTTACGTAGGTTCGCGATTTCGTCATTCCACCAGTAGGTGGGTTTTCTGTTCCTGTTCCCACCCTGCTCGAGGGTTGCCTTACAGGCCCGTCTCAGAGCTTCGATGGTCTCGTCGACTTCGTTGTTCTGCAATTGGGAGAGCTCGGTCATTACTCGCTGCTTAACGGCTTCCGCTCTGTGGGGTTTGAATCTCCATGCTGGTGGCGCGAGTGCATGGGGGGTCGGGGTTGCTGGAGCTGCTGGGTCGGGGTGAATCTCGTATCTGATGAGTTGGTGGTCACTCAGAGTTTCCTCATCGAGGACTCTCCAGTTAGCTATGTTCTCTAATAGGTTGGCGGTCACCAAAGTGATGTCTATCACGTTTGTCTGTGTACCTCGGATGAAAGTCGGGCTGTTGCCTACATTTGCTACCACCAAATTATGGGCTGTCATCCATTCCTTGAGGATTTCCCCCCTGCTTTCTTCGACGCTAGAGCCCCAGAGTGGGCTTTTTGCGTTGAAGTCCCCGGCGACAACAGCGCCTCTGGTGTGCCTGCTCGCCCGTAGTTTATCTGAGAGTTCCTCTAGAGATGCCTCGTAATCCCCAATTGGCACGTTTGGTGAGTAGTAGCATGAGAAGTAAGTTATACCTCCTACACTGCCCCATACCGCCCCGTTGCATTTGCCTGTGTTTGTGGTTTTGTGACCGTACACTCTGATTGCAGCGTCGTTTGCCTGGTCTGTTACCCATTCGTCTCGTCTGGTGGTGTGACTTTTGTTGGGTTCGCTGACTATGAGTATATCAGCGAGGTACTTGCTTTTGTGGTGGTACAGGACGTCCTGGGCCTCGCGGTACCTGTTTAGGTTGGTCTGTAAGATCGTAATCATTATTCTCGTGCTGCTCTCTTCGCGTGAGATTAGCTCCTCTTGAAAATACCGCACCTTCCGCTGCCGGATTTGTGTCCTGCATCTAGCCCAGCCTCGTTGCACAGTGGGCACCATTCTTCGTTCGTGCATGCTGTCGTCATGTGGTCTTCCTTGCCGCACTTATAGCAGAGTTTCGTCCTGTTGGGCCCGTTGCAGCTTTCCGATAGATGGTCATAACTCCAGCACTTGCGACATCTTTTGATGTCCAGCCTTCTGGTGATGTCGCAGTTTCCTGCTCCGATCCTGATCTTCTCCAGTTCTAGTAGTTTGTCTGCGTTTGTTTTGTTCGTCCTTACCGTAATTGCTTGGGTGCTCCTAGCGTTAGGTCGAAGTTCACTGAGTTGGTACTGGCCCTTCGCTTTTCCCTCGAGGGATTCCTCTATGGCTTTGCTGACGTCGTACTTTATAACGTCAGCATCCATGCTCCTGATGTGAAGCACCTCCCGGAATATTTCTCCCACTTTCCGTACGTCCAGGTTTCCCGGTATGTTCTTGACGGCTTCCTCGATTTGGTCCAGCTTGCTCAGGTCTTTCTCCATGGTGATAAGGAGTTTGCCATCCTTTGTGCTCTGGATGCTCCTTACTGCGCTGCAGGCCTCCTTGTTCTTTATGGACTCTTTTATTGTGCGTAGGGTGCACTTGTAGTTATCAGGATCTGTGTCGACCACCAACGCGTAGGTGTTCCTCTCCGCTGTGGTTTTTCGAGTACTGCCGGGTTTCCCCTCTGAAGGGTCGGAGTAGATGGCTACTTTTGTGTTGCCGCCGTGGAATAGGCACTCCACCATTTTCATAAGCAAAGTCGATCTCACGTTTCTTAACGTGTGCAAGGCCACCCACTCGCTGTCTATGGTCTCGTCTTTGAGGCTGGTGAGCTTCTTCCACATGTCTTCCTTCTTGCCGTCGTATGTGATTTTGACGATCTTCCTAGTCGTGAGCGTGTGTCCCTCCATGGCCCGCGTTTTGGTGGTCTGCTCTAAGACCCCCAGTTCCTCCTCTACAGCTTGCAGCTCTGGGAAGCGATTTCTGTAGGCTTTCTGGATGCCAGTTTCCATAGCCGTGTTCTGTTTCTCAACAAATACCACTTTGACAACTTCGTCTCTGGTCTCTAATGGGCTCCCCCTCCTCATTTCAGTGTTAGTGAATAACCCTTCGTCCCAGGTTTTGTGCGCAGCTATTTTCCATGCGTCCAAGTTGTCGATGCCGTCCAACGAAGTGACTGGTTGTTCCTGACTGCCTTGGATTCGGTTTCTTTCCCTGTCGGTTAGGTCTTTGATCCTTGTTTCCATCTGCAGTAGGGTCGCCTCTTTCTCGTTCAGCTTTTCCTCCCTTTCGTCTAGTGCCTTTTGTCTCAGATCAAGGCTTCTTGCTAATTCCTCGTGGATGCCGTCTCGTGATGTGGCGGATATCTCGTTGGCGTTTTGTGGGCAGCTTTTCTCTCTGTCGGCGAGGTCTGTGATCCTTTTTTCCGTGATCCTTAAGGCCGCCTCTTTCTCATTTAGCATTTTCTCTTTTCCTTCTAGCATGTTTTGCCTCAGGTCGAGGCTCCTTGCTAGCTCATCGTGGGTTGTTTCCGTCAATGCCACAGTTTGGGTGTCCACTTCGTAGGTGGGAATGGCGACTTTCTCCCATTTGTTTGTCTCCAACCACTCTTTCGTTGTCTTTCTCCTAATAACTTCGGCGCTGTTAGCCAGTTTCACAATGGTTTCCTTAATTCCCCTCTGCGTATTTGGGTTCTCTTTCATTTTTGTCACCAGGCAGCCGATTTGGCTGGTAATGCTCTCTAGTGCCTCAATGAGGACGAAGGCTACAGGGTCTTCTATTCTTTTCACAGGTGAGCCTGCTTCCTTGAAGGAAGTGTCATTTACCTGGCGTTTTTTATTTACATCTGACATGCTCAGGGAATCGCATCTCTTGAGCTTGCTGTATAGGTTCAGCCTACTGTGTGGTTGCGCCTTGGCTCCTTGTGGTGTGTCGTCACTTATGATGTCGATCACACCAACATTTGGTAACCCCCTGGGTTCTTTGACTTTGCTTCCAGTAGTTCCTACATGAGCTACAGCCTGGTCGCCTGCTGGGCTCTGACAGTCGCTGGGTAGCGGTCGGTGGGGGCCTGTCACGACACCACCCGATCCGACCGGTACTGGGGTATCCCTCCCCTGCACCGTAAACGAAGTATCCTTTTTCGAGCTCATCATTTGTCTTCAGGCTGGCCGCCTAGGTCCGCGCCACTGGGCCTAGGGAACTTTTTTTGTTGAGGAGGATGTTTCCCTCCGTGCAGCAGGAAAGAATGAGAGACCTCGAGCCCTCGGGAGCCTAATAGCATCGAGGTCGGAAGAAGCGAAGAGTTTGTCAAGGAAGGCAGATAGAATAGTTAAAAGAAGAGTGGTACTACCCATAGGCTGGATGTAGTTCCAGTGAAACAAAGCAGGTACCATGAAAGTGAGAGATAGGGTTGTTTTTGAGCCGCCCTTTGCTTCGCTCACCCGCCCCTTCCCGTCTGGTTAGAGGCGGGAGAACTACTGGGCCCCTCCACCACGACTAGGTCACGCAGCTCCTGGAGGGGAACCTAACCTGACCTAACCTAACCTAACCTAACCTAACCTTACCTAACCTAACCTTTTTTTTTGTGGGGGGAAAATCGCTTGACATCACAGTCTCTTTCTATGCTCTATCGACTGAGATAGTGTCGGGCGCAACTCCGACTAAAACCCCCCCTTCCTCCTCTGACATGACGGAATCGTCGTTAGACATGCGTCATTCATGCCAGGCGTGCTGTTTATCTGTTCTGCGACCGTCTCTCTTCCTCTTCTTCATTTTTCATCATGCTCTTCAGTGTCGAGTGTATTCTTGTCCAATCTTGCTTGTTGTCGATCATCCTCTGCACCAGGTTGTCAGGGTTCACAGCCTCGCCCAGTTCCAGTTCCATCCTCGTTTTCTCGTTTGTCTATCTATAGCAGTGGAACACCGTGTGTTCTGGGGAGTCTTCTTCGCCACAGTATCGACAGTCCGAGTTTTCCCTCTTTTTTATTCGATGCGTGTACGTACTGAAGGACCCATGTCCTGTCAACACCTGCGTCAGGAAGTATTCGGTTGTCCTGTGTTTGCAATTCACCCACGACCTCAGGTCGGGTATCAACCTCTTCGTCCATTGCGCCGTCTCTGTTTGCTCGTGCCAAGCCCTCTGCCAGAGGTTCAGGGTCTGCTCTCTGGCTCTGCTCTTCTGCTCGTGCAGATGACCGTCCCCTGCCCTATAGAGGTGGTTTCTCTCGGCAACTAACATCTCGATGGGCGGCGTACCGGTGACCACCTGGATCGCATTCGTCGAGACTGTTCGATATGCGCTAGCAACCCTCAGGAGAACCCTACGCTGCACCGACGCCAGTCGTCTTCTATACGTCTCCACTCTCATCGCCAAATGCCACACCAGAGCACCGTACAGCAGTGTCGATTGTACGACGCCGCTGAGAACCGCTCTCTTATAGCTACTTGGTCCTCCAATATTCGGCATCAACCTTGAGAGTGCCGCCACACTTCCCTCCGCCTTCTCCACCGCCATCTTCGTGTGTTCTCCGAAGGTTTGTAGGTCATCCAGCACTACCCCTAAGTACTTGACGCTCCTCGAGATGCCAATCCGTTCCCCTCCTATATCAAAGGTGACATCTCTCCGTCGCGGGCCCCTAAGGATTAATACTCCCGTCTTTTCGGCTGCCACCTCTAGGCGATGTGCTCTCATTCAGTCGATTATTCTTCTTGACGATTCCTCCACTCTAGATACTAACTCTGTCTCCTTTTGCGCTATCACCACTAGGGCCAGGTCGTCCGCGTAAGCAATTGTGCTTGCACCATCCGTCAGCACTACCCTCAGCACCCCATCGTAGAGGATGTTCCATAGATCTGGTCCCAGGATTGACCCCTGTGGGACCCCTGCCGTGATGGTTCTGTCCTCTCCACACACCCTGATATTCCTGTTCCTGAAGTATGCGGTGATTATAACGATCAGGTACTTCGGCACGTTCCTTCTTCCCAGTTCTCTTAGGATCAAGCTCCACGTCGCCATGTTGAACGCGTTGCTTATATCAAAAGTGATCAGAGCGCACCACCTATTCCCCCTCGCCTTCGCGATTGCCATTACCGCCTCTACCGCATCTATTGTTGACCGTCCCTTGCGAAAACCGAACTGATTTGGGGACAACCCACGCTCCCCCTCCATAGTCATCTTCAGTCTTCCTCTCAGCAAACCTAACCTAACCTAACCTAACCTAACCTAACCTAACCTAACCTAACCTAACCTAACCTAACCTAACCTAACCTAACCTAACCTAACCTAACCTAACCTAACCTAACCTAACCTAACCTAACCCAACCTAACCTAACCTAACCTAACCTAACATAACCTAACCTAACCTAACCTTACCTAACCTCACCTAACCTAACCTTTTTTCTTGGAAGGGGAAAACCGCTTAGCACCAGAGCCTCTGGGCTTAATGGTCTCTTGGCTCTGGTAGTGTCGGGCGCTACTCCGACTAAAACCCCCGTGCCCTAGAGCCTATACCCGGAACTGACTGTGAAACATCCCATTAGATATAGGCGGCGTCTTTATTAATCTTTTCTTGGTTGTCTTTCGTTACGTTGGTGTTCTCTTTCCTTCGTCGCTCTAGTTTTCATTAGTTTGCTCATTATGAAAATTGCAACCCTTGCCCAATTCAATTTGAATTCCATCATGTGAGCCATTATATTCTCGGGTGTTGGCACCGTATCCATACTCATTTCCAAATCACTCTTCTCCCTATGCCATCTGTCGCATACGCTTATCGTATGTTCAACGTCGTCGATTTGGTTGCAGTAGATACATATATTATCTGGCGACTTTTGTATCCTATGGGTAAAAGTTCTGAATGATCCATGAGCGCTGAGGAACTGTGTCAGGTAGAATCCTGTGTTTCTGTGTTTACAGGCCAGCCATGTCCCTAGATTCGGTATCAGCCTTTTTGTCCACTGTGCGTTGGTATTATTCTCATCCCACCTCTCTTGCCATATTTCTATGTTCCTGCCCCCCTCTTGAGTCCTCAGTGTCTGGTTGACTTCTGTATATTCGTTCAACCGGCATCTCTTGTACCAATAGGTCCATAGGTGAGATCCCGGCAATTACACATAGGGCCTTAGATGACACCGTTCTATATGCCGCTGTAGTCAGGAGCATCTTTCTCTGTGAGGATATTATCATCTCCTGGTACCTTTCCACCAGCATTGCCCTCTTCCATACCGGTGCAGCGTATAAGATTGCCGACTGTACCACTCCATACAGGAGTCTCCTTTTGAGTGATCCAGGTCCTCGGATGTTAAGCAGTATTTTCGTCAGGGCCGTAGTCTGCCTATCTGCCTTTTCACACTGGCGTCGAAAATGTTCATTGAAGATCAGTTTGTCGTTCAACCAGACACCGAGGTATTTGAAGTGCTTGGTAGGGACTTTCCGTGTGCCTGATAGTTGGAAGGAAATGTCTTG